GACAGGGGTGAATGCCTACTCTAGCAAACTGGCTTTCTGTTAGTTGGGAATAACGTTTAGAGATCCTAGAGACAGGGTCTTACTTGTCTGCTGCTGCAGTGAGCCAAGCTGCTCAGCTCCGGTGCCCCACAGAATCATGCCACTAAGAGTCACACAGAGTGATTTGCACTTCAGACAGCTCTTTCCCACTTACCCTACCCAGTCTTACAGTGAAAACTGCCCATATACTTGGAAATGTTCTCCTTATATCTGGAAAACAAAGCTCTTGAGCAGACCACAGACATACAGAGTGACTTCTTCTCGCCAGGTTGGCCTGCTTCTATAAGTGCTTATACCTCCAGATACTTCTACCTCCCCACCAGCACCTGGCTCTGTGCAGGTCAGCACAGCCAGAGAACCTGCAGGAAAACCCAGGGATCCCAGATAATGATTCTTCTCCCACATCCCATTCCAATTTGTGGCTCCTTTCTGCTTTGTGCAGGAGCTCCCAGGTCAGGAGGTAGGAACTCAAGTGGAGATATTGAAAGCAGGCCCAGAAACTGGAGAGTGTGGAGGTAGCCAGACCAAGAAAAGTCACCAGGATAAGCTAACTCATTGCAAGTTCCCAGTACTGAGAGGACACATGGGTTCTTCTCTTGGGCTTAGGGGTGGAGGCAGCCATACTTATTGCTCCCTGGAACTTGCCTGGAATAGGCATCAAAAGATTCCTTCAATGGGAAGGGAGGGACAGAATGGGGGAGAGGAGAGGAGAGAAGAGGAGAGGAGAGGAGAGGAGAGGAGAGAACTGTATTCTTGATGTTCTTCTACATTAATTGGAGAGGAGAGGAGAGGAGAGGAGAGGAGAGGAGAGGAGAGGAAGAGGCAGCACTCCGTTCCAACATAATCTTCTTGAGAAAAATATAATGCCATACTAAACCCAGAATTCTTCCTTTTGGTAGTAGTTTTGTGAGGGAGGTAATGGGCTTGAGAAAAAGAACTTCCCAAAGGTAGTTATAAATGATCTGCTGCCATACAGGGACAATGAGTTGAAGTTGAGGACAGCTCATCTCCCAGTTCTGTCACTTCTCTGAGGCCAGCAGACACAGGAGGAGGCTGTGCTATCACACAGCAAACTCAGTAGCTCAGGAGCACTGGAGAGGCTCAGGCTGACTAACCATATCCGAACTCATACTGATGCCATTTAAGAAACCTAGGCCAGGAGTCCTAGGGCATAAAGGTTTGCACTGCTCCACATGAGATGCAGCTTAGGGCACCTGTACCATTCAAAAGGACTACATCCTGTCCCCATGTCTGTCTCACCACAGGAGCAAAGCAAGAGAAGATGCAGCACATTTATAAGGACCTCTGGGAAATAAGCAGTTCGTGGCTTGCTAAACAGAGTTTGAGAGAAAAGAGGGGAGCATCCCACATACTCAGCAACAGGTTTAGAGGATGACAACAGCCACCATGACAGACTAGCAGAGAGGAGACTCTGTGTACTACAGCACCTGAAAAAGAGGATGTGGGGGAAGGCAGAGAAGCAAGGAAACAGTGGGGAAATCACAAACGAGGCCTTGTCTTGGGTTGTAGGTAGTGGGTGATGATTTCTCTTCTCTCCCTTCCTTTTTCTCTCCTAGTGTTGGTAGCTCACAGAGCATCAGGCCTTCTGCGCTGCTGCTCCAGGAGTTGTCTGCAAGGGACATGCAGGGGTTGCCCAGATCGGCGGAGACGTCGAGAAGGAAGGCCAGCCAGCTGGCGACAGATCTCATCTGAAGACATAGCAGACACACACAGGTTGACAGATAAGCAAAACTTCCTTCAAGTTCCTTACTACCAAAATAGTTAGAGGTACATCCTTCACTGCATCTACAGAAACTGTTGGAACTGCTGAATTCTCATGTACATGAGGCAAGTGAACAAGTTCTTAGGCTTTTATTAATTTCCTTCTGGCTTTGTTCATGTACAATACATATTAAAATCACTCATATTTTGCTGGAACAAAGACTCCATAAGAAATCTAGCCTGGATCCTGTTTCTATTCATGAATAAAAATACCGAGAGTTACTCTTTAACCTCAAAGGAACACAACTTTGAGTAAGGGTGTGTCTGGGGCTAGTAGAGTGTGACCAAGATTGAGAAAGGCAGAGCTCCCATACTTCTTAGTGGTACGATGTCTACTTCCCACTGTTTTTCATGGCATGTGTACTAGATGCAAGGCTGCATTGCATTAGAGCTCCCCCAAAACAAGTCCAGAGAAACTACTACATATGGATTTGGGTAATTAGTTAGCTTAGAGACTCTATTAGATGGCTGCAGCTATTCTTCTAGGCTAGCTTGTGCTGTCACTCACCTTGCATGACCTCATTCTCCTTGCAGATAGTGCGAGAGCACACCTCCTTGTTTATTATGTACATGCGACGGACACTGAGGGATCACCAGGAACATGCCAAGGACAGAAGTGAAAGGCACACAGACCCAAAGAAACAAAAAAGGGATACAGGCAATAAACATGTATATTCACTGATTCTAAATTTTTTGCGTTAGTCTAGAATAAGGCTGTTGTCATTAGGAAAGTAATCTTTGTCAAGACTTCATGAAATGGCCCAATATCTTAAATATGGATTACAATATAGGGCACATTACATCTTCTTAGTGCTGCACAGCTAATAATTATGGTGTTGTTTTAATCAATCACCCTAAAAGGACACTCTGAGGATAGGGTTCATCTCACCAACTGGTTCCCTGAGGGAACCTCTAGTCTTCAAAGGAAACAAAATTACTGAACAGGAACATGCCATTTCTGGATGGTTTTTAGGGCTTTTATTAGAGACTGCTGGTTTCTTACCTTGTAACACAGAGGTAGCTGATACACTGCTTTACCGGTTTGTGAACAGAGTAAAGGCGTGTGCAAGGGAACCTTTCTTCTCGACAGTCTGGGAACACACACATAGAGGTGCAATCCATTATCATTGGCAGGTGCACTCATTCTGGCACACCTATAACTTCACCACTACGTACCACCCTCCAGGCTTCTAGGGAAGGCCTCTAGCCCCTATTTTCCACTCTCTTGTGAGAGATGGGGATGGTTTAGAGAAGAGGAAAATAAGGCAGACATTTCTGATCCCCTTGCCTCATAAGACAAAAGTAAGAGAAAGTTGAAAGCTCTTTCAAGAGCCCTCTATTGTAACTTTTAACATGGAAAAAGATTTCTTTGTAACTGATGTGATACTATAAGAGAATGTACAAACACAATATGAATCTAGTGCCAGCTACCCAGCCAACAACACTAAAAATCTGTCCAAGCTTTACCATAAAGCATTACCACTACTATGCACAATGACAGTGTAAGGGCGTCTTGACTTATAATTCAAAAGGTCAGGTAAATGTAGTTGGTTGCTGTAACTGCTGTCCATCTAAGCAAGAAGCAAAGGAGACTGTGACTGCCTCTTACTAAGGAACAGTGACTCCTTCAAGAAACAGCATCCCCAGACTTCTAGTTCTTAGATGCCAATGACAAGGGGTCAAAGGGGGTTCGTTTTGTTGTTCCCTCTGATAAAGCAATCCACCTGTACCACAGTAAACCAGTACATTCTATTATTTACCCAGTGACAAACTGTAAAGCAACTTGGAGGTCTGTCTGCCAGGCACCAGTTTCCATAAACAGTTAGAGAGGACTTCTGTTCACATGTCATAGTGTCAGCCAGAAGCACAGACAAAACAGATGGGCATAGAGAGAAGGAGTCTTTTGGGCATTGGGGCTGTGGTTAGGGGCAGTCAGGTTTCTGGGTGTGGAAGAGACTGGGCAAGGAGAGGGAAGGGGGGTCCACAATATTTGTCTGTAAACTGAGAATAAACTCACCAGGACTAAGAAGTACAGGTGAAGTGACAGCTGCAGCTGGAAAAAGAGAAGATGTTCTGAAAGATCTTAATTTGAGCTTTCAGCCTCTTTCACCCTCCTGCTATTCTGCCGATGGCTCACCACTCCTGACCAGTAGCCATCCATCCCACAGCTGAGATTGTGATGTTGTTATCTGACTTGTCAGAGTAACTGCAGGCTTTCCCAGCAAATATGCTGGGTGTCTTAGAGCTGATGGGACACCGTAGAGCAGAGATGGTTCCCATGGCACATCCTTTGTGAAGAGTTTCTTCTTGATCCCTCAATAATAATTATTTTGAAGCCAAGTATGCTGCAAAGGCTTCACATTTAGTCTTTTCAGGTTTAGATGTAGTTTAACCACCTGCCAGTTTGGTCTTGACACCAAGTCTTACCTATGCTCCTACAGACTGTCAGGTCTCGCATACTGAACATGAGACTGACACAGGTTGCTTTCACCTCCCCCCACCAGGAAGATCATGCACCTTGTGTATACAATATTGTGCTTCCACTTTTTTTTCTCCAGTGTTGTCCCATGACAGCTAGTCAGCTTGACCCACAATACTCTAGCCAGCTGATGAGCAGAGTCACAGGGCAGAGGACGAGACCATGGAACTGCTGTCCCGAAGAATGGGACACCACTCAGATGAGCTCTCCTACACACACAGCACACTTATCAGCAACAGCCAACTGCTGCTGCCTCTCCTTTTTGTTTCCAACCATATTATCAACCCAACGTGTTCTCCCTCTCCCTGTTCTGTCTGGTCCCCCCACACATCACAGGGATGTGTTTGAGAAACTGCCCCAGCAAAGAGAGAAAGCGTTGCCAAGGCCAGTGGTGCTGTATTCGAAACAGGACTCATAAGGAAAAAATGGGGAGGCTCCTTCTTGAGCCTCTGTCCCTCTCCTCCATTGCCTATTGTGAGTCCAGCAGGATTAGCCTATTTTGTAAATGCCTACGCTCGCATCAGCTCTGTGTCCTTTTCCTAGGGCTACCTCCACAGCAAGGCTTGGCTCTCTAAGGAAGCACATCGCATGCTAGAAGCGCTCATCTTCAAGTGTCCTCCACCTATCCTATGTTTCACGTACATTTTGCTGCCCCCCAGTGACATAGCTGCAGACACGGCAGGAAAGACGGTACTAAAAGAGCAGTATTTCCATCTCCCCATCCCACCACTGCTTAGAGTTTGCTTTGTTACCGTCTTTCATTTTGTTTGCCATGTCTGATCCTGAGCACTCAAGCATGGCCGCTAGCTGTCAGCAGACACAGACACAACCTGTGTCCCAGTGCTGCCAAGTTAACTGGTGAACCTGACCAATTTCTCTCCCTTGTCATTTAGTCTCTTCCTTCCCGCAACCTTCTCTGGAAGCCCAGGCTGCGTGAGCTTTGGATTTCATGGCTTTCTGCCATGGAAACAGCTTCAGAGAGCCCTGGTACACCAGGTGAGATTGACATTTCCTTGGAGACCAGGCCACTAAGCCACCCCAAATTCACCTCCCTGCACAGAGCACAGAAAAGACTCCCAGATAGCCATAAACACTGGAACAGCACTGCTAGATGTCAAAAGTGGGGAAGAGGAGTTTCTGAGCATAATGTGTCATTTCTGGGGCTATGCAGGCAGGAGTAAAGATGAAAAGGGGAAAAGATGCCTGAAGTTGCCAAGACATAATAGCTTACCAGAGGTGCTGATAAGAGAGTCGGTGCTAACTTCACCTGGAAAAAAGAGAATGTCCTTTAGAGAGCTTGTCTTTACTTTGTGGTCCCTTACATAGCTAGCCTGAATTACCGTGGCTGCCATGGTAGGCTCATGAGACAGCATGATCCAATCCAGTAAATATATAAACAAACACATTTACCCCCACCTCACCTGTATCCATCCCCATTTTCAGTGACTGGCCTAGGACCAGATTTCTTAGTGCACATGTTGCATCAACCCTTACTGAACTCTGGATTCGTATTTCGACTTCTCAGATATGGCCAATGTGGGTATCTCAATTGGGAAAGAAAGACACCTGAAATGAAGGTGCTGATAGCTCAGACAGCAGTAGGACAGACACCTGGGGCACCCACTGCAGAGAATAAGGGAGGCAACTCCAGAACCTAGCCTTGACTGCAGAAATATATCAGCAGATGAGTTTCTTTGAAAGACCACTGATGGTAAAGCTGTGTTAGGTGTGATGAAGGGATAAAGTGTGAACAAAAGGGAAGGCTGGTGGACATGTTTTGGACTGGCTTCTGAGTAGTCTTCTGGGAAGCCCCAGGTATTACACGACAGGATCATAGCTGGGAGATCTGATGGCTTAGCCAGTGGACTCGGTTTGAAGAAGAGGCAGGACCTTGTGATTCTTCTGCATGCTGAAGTATAATGCAAACATACATTAATTTCATCTTATCATGTCACAGAAAAAGGAAAAAGGTCCAGAGGGATAAAGCAATTCACCCCCAACAACACAGCCAGTATGAAGACCAGTCAATATCCTTCTCAGTGGCCTCACTGTTAGAGCACCATGCCACTTGTGCACCCTTTTCCTTGAGGTTTTCCTGAGCAGTGGTAGAATTCCTTGAGCATCTCATGACTGAAGAGTTATCAGCTTTTGCGGATCTCTTGACTCCGAACATAACTTCCTGTGCTTCAGGACCCGAACACTAGTGAATTATTTGTAAAGAACACACAACACTTAGCAGGTTGTCTTGGAGGGCTTGTTTAATCTTCACTGAAAGGCAAGCTCACAATGTTAGAGGCAAGGAAACAAAGAACAACATTTGCAGTTAAACAGGCTGTAACTATACAGGACAACTGGGTCACATTAGCAGTCTTTAGCACATAACATGCCTGTAATACTTACCAGTTGCACTTTCCAGTTCTTGCCCATTGACTACCCATGGAAACCAGTCTGCAAGAGAAGAAGAGAGGGAAGTGAAGAAAGGACAAAGAGAGATTTCTACAGCCTGCAGGCTTCCTGAAATTTTTATGAGACGCTACCTGTCCAGGAGACACCACTGCCCTCTGCTGAAATGAGAAATGCTCTTCTCTCTGCCTCAGCTTCCATCGCTGGCTGGGTTTGTTCTTTAAAGACTTGTGGATACAGCAGGTCCTGCCTGATCCTATCTATCCCTGCTGCTTCCACCAGGGTCAAAGGCTAGGCACAGGGACAAGATAGTAATTACCTCCAAATCTGCTACCAGAATTTGCATTTCTGAAACCTCATTTGATGCATTTTGAAAACAAATTGCACACTGCCTCCCTGCTCTGAAGGCTGGTGAAAATCCCTATCTCCATTTTATAAAAGGAAACTGAGTCATGGAAATTACTTGCTTGGGGTCACAGATTGAGTCATCGGCACAGTAAGAAACAGATAGCAGGTCTTATAGCCTCTTAGGCAAATAATTATCTGGTCCATCATCCTGCCTGGGTATGGAGTACAGAGTAGAAGATCTTTCCCCTCTCAGCCCCTGGGCACACTGGAGAGGGAGAACAATGAAGGCTTGGCTGTGCATGTTGTGTGGAAGAAGAGAAATTGAAACTGAGCTAGACTGTTCGTTTGTCCAAATATAAAGGATGAGAGCTGCTTCCCGCAGCAGCCAGGAATAGGAAAATATTTCCTGCTAGCCACAGAGGAGGGAAATGTCTGCATAACTGGGGTGGGATGAAGGAATGAGTTGGCAGGAAAAACCCGGTGATCTGGGGCACTGCAGGGACGTGTGGAGGACCAGCCCAAAGAACAGTACACCCTGCTACATCTTACAAACTCAGCCTTTAGCTTTCTATTCTTAATGGGAGCACTGCATGGGTAAAAACTATCAGGTCTGGAGCTTTTAGTTCTTCCTCATTCCAAGAGCAGTTACTTACAGGCTGCAGCGGGAGTCTTGGGACCCCTATGTAATCCTGCTCTGCAGCATTACAGGAGTCACTGGACCCTGTTATTCTCTTCCCCACCCAGCTGCCAGCAAGGGTTCAGCTGCTGGCAACTGGCCCAGGGAGAGCCAGACTTGTGTAACAACTTAAGTGCACAATGTAGCACAACACCAAAATTTCACTGTTCTGGCTAATCTCTTACAGGTAACAAGTAGAGGAGGAAAATTGTATTGAACACTTTCTCACCTGTTTCTGATACAAAAGGAAGGACAAAAATTCTGAAAGAGGCCAGCGATGTCATATTTGAAACAGGAGTCATATGAAAAAAGTGGGGAGGCTCCCTGCCTTTTTTCTAATTTCTGACTGAAAAGTCAGCTCTTAATAGCTTTTTTTTTTTTTTTTTTTTTTTCCCTCCTCCCTAGGAGATAACTAGAAAACTGGTCAAATTCTAAAACAACAGGACATAAGTGAAGTGAAATCTCTGCATATGAGGAGAGGAGACAAAAGAGGTGACTTTCTTATCCGATTTTCAATCACTTCCGTTTATATTTGCTATGGTACCAAATTCATACGCTTTATAAATTATTGGACTTTATTGTCCAAATTGCAATAAATTCATCCTTGAGATCTAAAACTGCAATTCTAATCCACCAAATCTGTAGTTTACCTAAAACCAAAAGAGACAATGAGAGACTAGCTGGTGATTCCTGCTATTTTTCAAGTTAAAACAAACAAACAAAAAACCAACCCAGAAATGCTAAAACAAAATACACAAAAGTAAGAAATATTCCTTTCAGGCCTCCTTCATGCATCATAAAAAAACATTTTTCTGCCGCTAAATTTCTAGGCCACCTACAAGCTCATCTCTTGGATGCCTCACCTCCCTGCTTCACAGTCACAAACATAACATACTCTACTGTATATCTTTACAGGAAACAGTGCTATTTGGAGCAGAATCAGGTTTCAGCATGAGGGGAGGACCGAGAAGAGTAGATTGGAATAACCTGATTTGAATGCAATAGGTACAGTTATCTGTCTCCTACATACAGTCTTCCCTGGGCGAAGCTTTTTCCGTTCACTGGAATTACTCACCTTTCGGTGTCTGTCCTGAGTCTTCTGACTATAATGTCTGATGCTGCCCTCTTGTTTTGTTTTTGGTTTTGTTTTTGTTTTTTACATTGTGGGGTTTTTTTTTAACAAATTTGATCTCACGTGAATTTTTGCCAAAGTAACTCCAAGCAAACAAACACACGGAGCAACAAACGCAAAGAGTGGTCTGAACTACAGAGGTTAGGTTTCTTAAAACAGCTATACAAAAACCCACAAAATCTTCTGGCAGGTGGGTGGCCTGGAATGAGGCCATTCCAGCAG